TTAGCCTAAAATTATCTATATTTTCAGCTCATGACAAATCAAGCTACTTCAACAGATTTCTAGTTAACCCATTAAGGATAGTTTTTTATACTATTGTGTATCCCAGTTATTCACATGAAACAATCATTTTAGATTGGTTACTGGAAGCTTTCATCTTATTTCCCATATCTCTTACTCTTTGGGCAGTACAATGTGAGCCATAGAAAATTGAATACTGATTAGCAGGTTGTTTAAGTATGAACAATAATGCCTTTATTTGCTAAGTGAATTGTATTTGATTGCAATAAGTTAAAGCTTTTCAATCCCTTGGCTAAGCATATATTTGAATTGTCAAAGTCTTGGAAATTTAATTTAATATTACAGCTCATGGAAAAAAGGACAGATAGGGAGAGAGTATCAGGTTGCTATTGGAAATTGGGGGATAACCCCTAATGCATGATAGATACAAAGAGAGAAAAAAGGAGATACAAGGGAGCCCACTGGGAACAATATCCCAGTCCCGTGGGACTCGAATGTATCAAAAGCAACCCCAACTAAAATAAAATAATAAAATCAACTTTTATTCAATATAGTTAAAAAGTAATAGAATACAAAATATATAGGAAAAATACACCAAATACACCAGCCTAGTGGCTGTGTGTAAAAGCGGAGGGGGGGGGGGAGAGGAGGAGATAGTAATAGAGGAACTAATAGGAGGAGGGCAAATACGATCCTAAGCACAGCTATACTAATATATAAGAAAAAACCTGAATCTAAACAGGTCCAAAATGACCTATCCACTAATATACTATAATGTAGGTAAAAAAGCTCCCCTTATTCCTCTATAGTCCATAACCCCCCACCCCACATCGGCCAAAAAGACTAGAAAGGAAAATAGTTTTCAAAAAATCAAATCTCAGGGGTGGCTAATAGGGGTAAAATATCAAAACTAAAGACTGCTAAATCGTCCCTATAAAGCCCCACCACCCCCGTATGATTCTAGTCCCGACGCGCGTTTCGCCTTACAGGCTCTTCCAGGGGAACCGATCGTGAAGTCGGCGGTCATTCAAATATACCGCCCTCTTCAATGATTGGATAAGATTCTCTCCAATCAACGACTGGGGGGGCGGAGCCTAATGCCGTTACCGTACAGCCCAAGATGGCTCGGCAACTGAGAGAATAATGACAAATGTTATAGATATACAATGTTTCAACTCAATAGTGCCAGTAGTTACAGGATAAATGCGAACGGTAAAACAGGGGATTAAGCAAAATAAATTTTACAGACAAAGATTACTTTGTGGCAGATAAAGACAAAGTGATTAAAGATACAAAATCATGATATCAATAATCTTAAAGGTACAGATCGATCCCTACCATGGTGGAACATAATGAAAATAGTCAAAACTATTTTCAAAAAATAATTCAAAAACAATGTGTTAGTGAAAGGGTCCCAAAAGCAAAGGGGTCCTTTCCTCTTCCATGTAAAAACGAATACAGATTCACTAATAAGTAGAGTTTTGTTTGAAAAGTACATAAGGGAATGGGGCATAAAGACAGATTAATACAACTGAACCCTTTGCAGGTACTGGGTGTAAGTGCGTCCACAGTCCCAAAAAGTCCCAATTTTTTCAAAGGCCAAATTCACATGGAAGGAAAGATTCCCTATTGATACTAAGTGTCAAAAGAAAGGAAGATTGTGATAGTTGCCAACTACTATAAAGAAGGCAACAGGTACCAGATAAAAAAAACCTGTCTTTAAAGTATTTAGACAAATATACATGAAGTGTACTCGGCGCTCCAAATAGAGATATGTCAGTGTAGTGAGGAGAGAAAGCTAGACTGGATGGTGTTGTTTACCCAAGACAGTTGCCATGGGAACTGTTACCAACTAAGAATGAATGAATGGAGTAAAATTAAACTCCTCATTAAGTCCTTTCGGATATAGGGTTTGGAACGAGTAGATCCAGCGGGATTCCGCCTTTAGCAAGGAGACATTAATGTCACCTTTTCTGTGATTTTGAAAAATCTTTTGGATTACCTGAAACTTGAGTGCATTAGGTCTAGAGGCGTGATTGGTACGTACGTGTCTAGCTATTGGTGTATCGGTATGTAAATTCGATATAGAGTTGATATATTGTAAGACACGTCGGCGTAGTTGTTGGTAGGTTTTGCCTATATACTGTAATCCGCATTCACAAGTTATAAGGTAAATCACATTAGTTGATCCACAATTAATAAAGGAGTTGACCATGATATTTTTGGATGTTATTTTGTTCCATACTGTTTTAGAAGGTACAATGTAATTACAAGCCTTACAATGCCCACATTTATAAAGGCCCTTGGTCTGGAGCCAAGTAGATGTGGTTTGTGTAGGTTTAAGATGACTTTGAGTTAACAGGTCCGCTAAGTTCTTTGCTCTTCGATTTGTCAATAATGGTTTATTGGTAATGGTCTTTGAAGGCATGTTTCATATTGCAATAACGGCCAATGATTTTCATGTATGACATGAGTAAGCTGAAGATTGATTGGTTCTTATTTAGAATGTCCACCATTTGTTTGAACAGTGTAAAGGGACCTAACCAAAAGATTAACACGTCATCAATAAAGCGATACCATTTAAATATTGATGAAGTGTATATCATTGAAGAGGGCGGAATATTTGAATGACTGCCGACTTCACGATCGGTTCCCCTGGAAGAGCCTGTAAGGCGAAACGCGCGTCGGGACTAGAATCATACGGGCGTGGTGGGGCTTTATAGGGACGATTTAGCAGTCTTTAGTTTTGATATTTTACCCCTATTAGCCACCCCTGAGATTTGATTTTTTGAAAACTATTTTCCTTTCTAGTGAATAGATTGTTTTTAGTTGTGCTTAGGATCGTATTTGCCCTCCTCCTATTAGTTCCTCTATTACTATCTCCTCCTCTCCCCTGGCACAGCCACTAGGCTGGTGTATTTGGTGTATTTTTCATATATATTTTGTATTCTTTTACTTTTTAACCATATTGAATAAAAGTTAGATTTTATTATTTTGTTTTAGTTGGGGTTGCTTTTGATACATTCGAGTCCCACAGGACTGGGAAATTGTTCCCGGTGGGCTCCTTTGTATCTCCTTTTTTCTCACTTTGTAAATATTACAGCTCAGTTAACTAATAAATGTAATTTTTCTCCCAACTTGTTCTTACAAACTGTGTGAATATCATCTATTCTTCTATTGTTTGAAAGTCTAAGGACTTTACATTTCCTACTCAGTAACCTGCTCTTTTTCTTCTAAGTTTCAATGGAGTCACCTAACATCAGTCAGCCTTAGGAGATCAAGGGAGGTGAAGTGCAGATCACCCACTGGTGGGAAGTAGAGTTGAGTCACTGCTGTGCTTTATAAAATCACACACTATTATTTTTTTGTTTAAGAACATGCTGTTGATTGACAACTACATTACAATAAATTTATTTTTTATTTTTTATCATGTGGCCGAAAACAGGCTTAAGAATTGCTTAGGTAAAATAGCTTCTGACTGTCTAGTAACTATTGAGAGGCACTAATCTGCTTTATGTAAAATGTGAAATAGAATATATATATATATATATATATATATATATATATATAATATAGTATAATAAAAAATATTATTGTTACCTTGTACAAAAAGTATACAAATAATATAATTAAACATTTGATAGAAAACAAAATCCCACATATATATACTCCATTTTCAATTCTCTAAACAAAACTGAGCATTCAGATTTTTAAAAGTTTCGTAAAATGAATATGCTCTATGAGAAAATGGGAAATGCAAGTAGGAAAGCATTACAAGACTCTTTTTTTTTTTTTTTTTTTGATACTTTTCCTTTAATAGCTGAAACTGACATTTACATGTCTGGTAAGCAATATTTACAAGTATGCGTACAATAAAACTTTAATCATTGTGAGAATATTTTCATATTCATACCCCCTAATGCAAGGTGTTCTAGTCTGTAGTTCATATATGTATGACATCATATGATGACTATAACAGACAATCAAGGTATAAAACACGGCTCAGTCAAAGTGATATTGATCCAAGCAGACCTTTACCACCATGTGAAATAGATAATAATGGTGATGGGAATCACATTTATGCATTTGTGCTGCTAAGGCATGCTCTCTGAGGATAACAAGTAGAACTTCCTTTGGACTCTCGTACAAGGACCCGGCAAGGTCCATCTCATCTTTCTATATTTGCATTACAAGATGACCTCCAATCATTTTTATGTAATCTTTTTTTTTTTTTTTTTTTTACATTTAAATTACAATTTTATTTTTCCATTTATTTATAATCTTGATGCATTGACAAAGGGGAATCACCCTTAAACATTTGCATACTTATGCATACTGATGCATGTTCTTCAATAAATATTTGTAGCACGTTTGGTGCACACAACAACTGTTTGTACAGCCTTCCCTTTTTTCTTTATTTATCTGATGTTTATTATCTTCAATACAACTAAAATGTAGCTTAAACATGTGCTACCAATTCAATTACCATAATTCCAATACATACAATGTTCTTCTGTTTTATATTTAAGTTCGGCTCTCTTTAAATAAACATCTTTGTTTGAGTGCATTACACCAAGCCCCTAGTAATGTAGATAAAAATGTATGATACTTTTTTTTGTTTTGTTTTAGTTTAGAGGATTTTTTTTTTTCGTTGCTGTGAAAAAGTTAATACAACAGTTTAAAATCAATTCTAATCAAGTTGAGAGATTGCAGAAGGCACACTTACTGTTAATGTGACAGCATTTCTGATAAATATCTGCTGAACTGTTTATATTTTCTACTGATCAATGCATTAAAATGACCCCTAACAAAATGAAAAGAAAGGAAAAAAACAAGTGTAAGCATTCAATTCTATTATGGAACTCTCTACAATTCAATACAGATATATTTTTTCTGGTTCACTTATTCTTGCACTTCAGCCCAGTTTATTTGCCAGTTTTGTCTGCTTTGATTTTAATATTGATCTGTTTATTGTGTTTCAGGCAAAAGATGTTGATCTTGGTGCTAATATTTCTTACCGGATAAGATCCAGGGAAGTTCTGCAGCTTTTTGCAATAAACCCTTCAACAGGAGAATTATCTCTTCTGAAAGCCCTTGATTATGAGTCATTTACTGGCATGGAAGCTGCGTACACATTTCTCATTGAGGCCTTTGACATCACAGGAACAATGCCTCCAGGACTTGCTACTGTAACAGTAACAGTAAAGGTAAGGGATGTCTTACCTTATTACCTTAGCTATAGTACTATGCATATGTTTAAGGTAAAATAAAAGTATATATAAAAAGTTATCTAGGATTATCCTAAACACAACCTCAAGCAGACCTCAAGCTACGTGTTCTCTTCTGACATTGTAATAATTTAACCTCTGGACATAGTGATTTTTCACTTTGGTATATCATTGCTAATATATACTATAATATAGGTGACTGGCAACAATCAATATGAAATACCGGTTAAGTTGATCAGTGTCATTGCCTGTACATAATCAGCACTTTTTGATTGAATAAATATTAGCATAACATTTATTTGAAGCAAGGGATGCATAGCTGACATACAAACATATCATACCAAAGCAATTTTGAGGATAGATTATTTTGCAGATGAACTTAAACATTAAAATTATAAAACTTTATACCATTTTTATTTTTCCACTTCTTTGTTCCTCCTTGAGAATTGAACAGCTTTGCACAGTATACAGTATCCTTTATCTTGCAATATTTCACACAGGAGCTGAAATGTTAGCATAAAAGCAATAATTATTCCCCCCCCTCCCCCTCACACACACATAGATAAGAGAAGAACTGGTAAATAAAAAGATTTGAACTGATTTTATACTGAAAAAAAATAAAATAAAAACATGTATACTCGTTTTTGGAGTTAAAGGGGTTGAGGAGCAAAGGGGACATAAATATTGTGCCTCTGGACATATTTAGGATCTTCTAAATCAGGGGTGCCACTGGCTCTATTCAACATACTGAGTAGTTCCATAATCTTATGTATTGATAAAAGCAGGCATACTCTGGTCACTGACAATCTGCTCACAGCTCCATTCATTTTATTTAACTAGCTGTGTGCAGAAGTCTTCTAGAAGACATGTTTGTTCTGGTTATTCTAGAATCACAAAGGATCAAACATTTATAATTTTTTCTGTAATCTCAAAGCCCCTTGGAATCTGGAATCATTTTATTTTGTGTCTGGCCTGTTTGTTCTCATAAGAGTAAATCACTTTTCCGTTTTGAATGTGGGAGTTTAATATACTTTCTGTGCTATCGCATAACCTGTTAAACTGTGTACTTCTTTGGAAACCTTCACAAAGTTCACAGACATTGGAGCAAGTAATATGATAAACAGGTTGTCTGCTACAGGAATTACTTAAATTAACTGAATGCTACTGGTTAGAAGCGGTAGTTCCCATATAGGATCATGCAAGGTATCACCATTGTCTCTGGATTTGGATCCCAGTTATTGGATATCTAAACAATTTTGACATAAAGAATACTATTCTTAAAGGAACTCTCTGGGACCACATCACAAAAAAGTCTTGAAAAATATACATACATTTCTCAAGCCATTTTGTGAGTAGGTAGGCACTGATTGGCTGGAAGCATTGGCTGACCGTTCTTAGCGAATCAGCAACGCCCCTGCCCAGGCAGCCATAATCCTTTTCGGCAAATGTAAAGAAAGTGGTTAGAGAAATCCGGTGTTGGAACACAGACTTTAGGGTTAAATCATATCTGAACGGTTTAACCCATAAATGTGAACCAGTGCCAGGGAGTCTCCACATGAATGCATAGAAGGAACACAATACACATTTTATCTCTATGTTGTTGTTAAGTATCTGTAATGCAGTTGTTTGCCAGTTGAGTACTTTGCCCACCTTATTATTATTTTGTTTCATGTGTTACTGTAAATGTCAGTGAGAACACCACTCCAATGTGTGAAACCTGCTTAAAAATGAATTACTCTTATGTGAAAGTAGTTTATTGCAATAAGATAGATGATGATAATGTGTAATGACAGCTTATGGTGCATTAAAAGCACTTATACTCTCCTTAAAATTGTTTATGATCTGCACTGACAGAATTTGATTTCAAGACATCACAATTAACTACTGCATTGTAAGAGCCAAATATAACCTGTATATTGAAGCTTTACATATTGTACATATTACTAAGCCGGTCCTGCAAGAAGTAAAACTACTTTAACTTCTTCCCAATCATGAAATTACAATTTTCTGACTAAGAATTTATAAATGTCTTTCTTGCTCAGTCTGCATTGGGTCCCTCCAGTTGGATTGGAAGATCAAGACTGATTGATTTTTTGTGTGTGTGTTCAATTTAAGTCTTTTATTCAGTTTTGTTAGTTTATCATGGGATTCTTCATGACAATTTTTGAATGAAAGAAAGTTCTTTAGTGAAGATTTCAGCTCGTAACTCTTTCTTCTTTTTTTTTTAGGCCAATATTTTTTATATTATTGATGGGGTCTACGTGGGGTCTTTGGGAATAACAGTCACCATTTTTACAGCAACTGATAATGATTAACTCTATAGTGAACAGGAAGATTATTTCCTTGGCTGTTAAGCAGTCATATAATTCATCCACGGCCCAGAAGACTGCAAATCTCTTGGACCATCCAGGGGCCATACTTATAGTGATCAGGCCCATGAGACTGGCCATCTCTAGATCTCTCAGGGAGACCTACATATACAGGCCCAGTAGACTGAGAATGTCCCGAGCTCTCCAGGTGCTCTTTATTCATAATCCCCACAGCGGCCCATAACTGAGCCTTTCTGGGGCCATGCCTTTTAATGGTTTCCAGGAGACTAGACCCAGAGTTATTGATAATATTACTCTGTGAGACATAGAGTAATATTATCAATACCTTTGGACCACACAGTTTGGGGGTCTTGCGGGAATCATGGAGAGTCCAAAGCAGCTATATGAGAGATCTCATTCTATGCTTTAAATTGCATGTTCAGTTTGTATAACTTATTTTATTTTTTTACTTTAAGTGCCATGGGATGGTTATGCATATATGCTGCACCATTGAAAGGGTTAATTTTGCTTGGCTATTAAGGCCTTATACCTAGCTGTAGTCGTTATACCATTAAAATAGGTCCTCATGAATCGCAAATGGTAACTTGATTTCTATGTCTGTCTTACTTGCAACTTACTTGTCCTTTATGTCTCTATTTGGTCTTCTGGTATGCTATTGTCATGTGTTCGGCACTCTTTGTGCTGTCATTCCCCTCCACTTATCTATCTAGTCATAACACCATTCTGATGTCCTTTACTACATATACTGATCAGCCACAACATTAAAACCACCTGCCTAAAATCATGTAGGTCCCCCTCATGCTACCAAAATAGCTTTGCTGTATTGAGGCATTGACTTCCCAAGACCTTTGGATGTGTCCTGTAGTATCTGGAACCAGACATTAGCAGCAGATCCTTTGAGTTATGCAAGTTGCGAGGTGGAGCCTCCATAAATCAAATTTGTTAACATCCCACAGATGCTCAACCAGATTGAAATCCAGGGAAGTTATGTTCCTCAAACTATTTTTGAGAATGTTTGCAGTGTGGCAGGGTGCATTATAATTCTGAAAGTGGCCACTGTCATCAGGGAACAACATTGCCATGAAGGGGTATATTTGGTCTGCAACAATCTCTAGATAGGTGTTCCGTGTCGAAGTAACATCCACATGAATACCAAGATCCAAGGTCTACCAACAGAATATTGCCCCTAACATAGCACTGCCTCCACTAGCCTGCCTTCTTCCCATAGTGTAAACTTCTTCCATCTCTTCCAAAGGGAAATTAAAGTTATTTCCTCTTTTCAGCATTTTTAGACAGATAAAACAGTAATATTTTAAGTTTGATTTCATCATAACCTATACTGTTTTAAGTCATTCGATGGAAAAAGTATGTTTTTTGTCATGCATCATAAAGCTTTATATGTGAATAAATATTCTGCCAAGTTCAAATCCAGTATTAGGCTTTTTTTGTATTACCAATGTTTGACATGCATCAGCTTAAAATTCGTATGACTTTCAGATTTACTTTTCCAGTGGCACTGGCACTTTTGAGATTTTTCATGTAGATAGAAATAGAATATGAATGGGATTTTTCAATTCTTTAAAATGTGTTTTTTTATTCTGTTGCATCTTGCAAACCTCCAAGGTGACTGACTTGAACCTGAAAAAATATATCTGATTCTATGTGATTGCCATTTGGTATGTAGCTGCCTGATTATTATAGGATATGTTTGAATAAAAGTAACATTCCATTCCTAAAATAAAAAAAATAAAAAATATGTTTATATATACTCCAATAAGACATGCATGCATTTATGCATTTTTTTTTTCAATTAGGGGTATATCAAGCTTGCAAAAGCTGCATATCTCTTGTCTGCAATCTTTGCAAGATCTCCCTTTTTCCCCACAGCATAGATTAAAAATCCATGTTGGAGAATACTCCAATCGGAGAATTCTCATTGAGAAGCCTCTTTGCTTGAGCTGAGAGCATGACACGATTGTGGCTTTTCAATGCTCGTCTATGAGGTTAGGCAAGAAGGCAAGCACTAGTACAAAGAGCCTACCACTTTTGTCAGCTCTAAAGAGCTAATGGAAGCGGAGGACAGCCAGGGAGGTGTTTCTACTCCAGTTGTACAAGCTTTATTGCCATATAACGAGTTACAGTGTCAGATGCAACACAATGCATTAACCTATGGTTATATGTTATAGATTTACAATACAGTATGGTCATAAAACATTTTTGGACATATAATACTATAGGAGATATGTCCCACCAAAAACACAAAGTGTGAGTGCAGGGCTAAAAATTGTGTAGGATAACACTTTCCCCTTAAAGCATGTATACATATAAAGAGAAATACAAAACAAAAGAGCAATTAAGAATGTCTGGACAGATGAAACGTGTCTCTGGGGGTGGATCCCAGTGTTTATTATTGATTTTATTTATTTGATATAGTTATTACTATTTTTAAAATAATTACTTTTTAATTATGTTCTAATAAATCTTTGATGAAATCAGCAACACTTATTAGTGATTCCTTCCTGCAAACTGCACCCTGGGTTCATAAGAGGGCATTGTCACCCTCTATCTGGGAATAAGTCATAAAAAGTCATTTATGGGCTCCTCACTAAGGTGAGCAGGAATAATAATGTTTAGTAACTTATTTTCTATCCATATCAAAACAAATGGACCTGAAACAACTCTGCTCATTATGGAACAATTAGTTTTTTAAAACAGTATTAAAATGTTACATTTTGTAACTGATAACGATTGACAAAAATAAAAAAATCTCATCGTATACAGTGTAAAAGTTGTGCTTTCTATTTAGTTAGTTTTTAAATGCATAAAAGCATGAACTGGGCGATTTTAGGTCACGTACCTTTAGCCTATTTCTAAATATTTTTGCAGCCCATGACATTATAAAATCTACTTTGTGAAATGCATTTAAAACATTTTATTTTCAAATTTCTGCTGCTCCCACCCCCATTCACCATCATAAATAGGGCATAGTATATTAAATAGAGCAAAAAAACAAGTCGCAAGAGAGTGCTGAGGATGGACAACAGCTCAATTAGCCTGCCCTTCGGTAGATCCCCGCTCAGTTCTCAAGCTGGTTTTAGCTCATCTTTTGCCATTACAAAGAGAACCAGACCATGCATTTCAGACTGATTCCACCCAAAAGGGCAGAACAGATCCCAAATCAGACCGTCTCTCTCTGCACGAGAGATGCAGCAACCCCAGACGATCGTTTCAGCCTTGTTAGGCATCATCAGTGAGGCATAGCTTATCAGCTATGCCTCTCTTGCAACCTATTTTTTTTGCTCTTCTTAAGCTTAAAGGGTAATCCAGACATGGGCCCCTTGCTCATAGTGCCTGGAGAGATATCAGCTATGCCTTACTGATGATGCCTAACAAAGCTGAAACAATCGTCTGGGTTGATGTATCTCTCGTGCACAGAGAGACGGCCTGTATTTTGGGTGGAATCAGTCTGAGATGCATGGTCTGGTTCTCTTTTTAATGGCACAAAATGAGCTAAAATCAGCTTGAGAACAGAGCGGGGATCCACCGAAGGGCAGGCTAATTGAGTTGCTGTCCATCCTCAGCACTCTCTTACAACTTTTTTTTTTTGCTCTCCTTAGTATATTGAATGGATCAGAGCATTCTTAAACATAAACATACAAAAAATTACAGCACCAGCATTCCACCAACTATCCCATCACATCTACTTGCAATCTTATAGATATAGTCTTTAAGTTAGCCTTGTGTTGATCAAACAATTCATTTAATAATACTTAAAGTGAAAATGCTAAGTATTTTAACACCTGAATATTTCTAGCACTGCATTTTATCCATAAGATGCTTCTTTAAGATAGCTTGTTGCATTTAATTATTCACTCTGTGTAATAAAATATTAATATTAAAATGATTTGGATTGCAATAGTACATCAGTGAATGTTTCATGTGACCATTGTACCATAGAAAAAAAATATGGAATATAAGAGTAAAAAAGGAATGGTTTACTATATACCATCACTTTTGCTCTTAGAACAGCTCTAGCAAACTGGAATAGTATGTTGGTAACATCTTTTCTGCTTTATGTATTTTGGTTGATAAATACTGTATACATTGCTGCTGCCCAGTGCCCAGTAGTAGGGGGAGATTATGCGCAGATCGTAATATTGGTCATGGTAATTATAAGCATAGAGCTTAAATTTGATATGGTAAATATATATATATAGTTAATACAATGTTAAAAAAAAATCTGCACACTAGCCAAGTCATAAGACTTGTTTTTCCCAGAAATCACAAGTCGTATGGCTTAACTGATGTGCAGATTTTTGTTTAACATAGTATTAACTATCAACAGACTTCAGGTGGAAGGGGTTTTCCATAACTGTTTTGGTTGTTGAGATATATATATATATATACCAAAAGAGTTATGGTGGGAAAAAATGTGATTGAAAACCCCTTCCTCCTGGCTTTGCATCTTTTCCTAAGTTGTGTTTCAAAGCTGTTGTATACAGCAGACACAGACTCAAAGGAATTTATTTTTTATTATTATTATTCTTATTGCCATTTATTGGAATCCATGTTTAAAATGGAATGAGGCAAAATTTTTATTCTTTGTTGAACTATGTCACGTGAGTGGGCTATAGGCCCAGCCGAGACAGTGGGGAGAGTGTGGAAGTGACAGGGTTAATGACACCAGACCCCTGGTTACCTGTTGCTAGTCCCAGCAACCACTCAATTAACCCCTGCAATCCCTTCTACACTATCCCCCTTAGTACTACTGCCACCACCAAGACTTTTAAACCCGGGCGTCTTAGGTTACCCCACACACAGGAGAATTATAGTATCACAGTTCTACTTTTACTGATAAAACATATATAGTTAACCCCTTTTGGTAACGTGTTTACCTGAGCTTTCCTCTGGAGAGTGAAGCTCATAGAGAACAGAGACACAAGCTGATTAAGTAAACATTTAATCTGACAAAAGGGATTCACAGT